TCCGCTTCATCTATGAGGAAATTGTCCAGCATTCACTACCATATTATGTAATAGTTGCACACTCTTTTTTTGTTTCTAATGAAAATTTCCTCTTTCTTAATACTCTGATTAGCTTTAAGAAGGCATCTTTTACTTTGTCATAATCACTGTTCTCACTTTCAGAATCATCATTAGTGTTATTACATCAGGTCTTATTACCAAAACCCAATATCATAACTTTTTTACCATCACCAGTGTTTAGAAATATATCAGTCATTGCTGATATTAGTCTGTGCTTTTACTTTCACTATTATTTTTGCTTACACCACAAATAATATATTGATTATCACCATTACCAATTCCATGTCAAGGTGAGTGCCATTCTTTAGCTCAACCACTTCAGACGTTTACAGATAAGACATACTATGCTATGTTCATATACTTGAATCATCCTCATTTCCTCCATATTCCAGATGTAAGGAGAAAGTTCTACTCAACTTTTTCCTGAGAACTGCTATTTTGTAGAAGAGACTCCCACATGGGTGCTTCCCTGAAAACTGCAATCTTAATCTCCTTTCCTCTTCAAGTGAAGGGCCAGTTGTTAACTATCCCTCTTATTGTTTCCTACCACCTCTTCTTGCATTTATATCACATATGTCATTCAGTAACATTGTGCTTTTAAGTAACTCTTGAGCTTTGTATTGGGTGAACTTCAGTTAACAAAATGTTATATAGAAATAAAATATCACTGTCAAAACTTGAGTTTGAACATAGAGAGCCAGTGAGCAAACACAGGTGATCCCATTATTGAATTAAGTAGACTACATGATCATAGAGGAAATGCATATATGTAAGAAGTAGCGAATGACTAATGATAGCTATTTCTATTCTATCCTATATTACTATTCAGATTGTTATTCTCTACTCTATTCACTATACTATTCCTCTATTCTGATCACTATATGGATTACTGTTCGAGCGGGTATTATCAGGCAAGCACTATTAGTGCAAGATTATTCAAAGGTGTCTGACACCAGCATTGTTCAATGGCGTACTATAGTTGTATCAGTGATTACAAAGACTCTACTACAACAAGCATTGCAAAAGTGACAACAAGTATTCATTGACATCCTAAAAGTGGCAATGAGTGTTTGTTGACATTACAAAACAAAACAATATATATATAAGAATGTACCATATGAAAGAATGGCACACATCCTGAAGGGGCATGTCATATAGAAGATCTGAAAGAGAGAGAAATGTCATGCCAAAATTCCAGTTTAATCTACTAAATATGTAGGGTGCATTTCCTAATAGAATTACTAACATGCTAGCAGTAATAAGAACTGATGAGTTGGTGGCTGGCATCAAATCATTTATTCTGCATCATCACCATCATCATTATCTTGGATGTAATTTATACAATGAGCAAATATTTCTGATATGAGGTATTGTAACTACACCATCTGAAAAAGGCAAGACTATACGATGACCGAAACTTTTTGAAAATGACAATAAAGAAGAGGACAACAATCCGAACAATGTAAATAATATAATTAATAAGCAAATCATTCCAAAACATTGTGCTATTTGCCAAACAACTACTATTGTTGTTAATTTCATCACAATTTCTATTACTGCCATCACCTAAAGTAAATCCATTGAATATATGGCGATTTTTCTAAATGTAGCTTAGATGTGTCAGAAGGCTGAAAGTATGGTTCACCCAGTGAAAATTGAACTCACTATTCAGTCGTAATTGATCTAGTGAGGCAAGCTTGCTAACCATTGCACCATGTCAAAATGCCCAGTTCCATTGAGATATGAGATGCAACATACAGGTTCAGTGAACATTAGCCATATCCAACTGGCATCAGTTTAAACTGACACTTATATTTTTTCTACATGCATTGACCATTTTGGCTTATGGTCACATCATGTTGAAATATTGGTTCCCATACAGTTTAGTTAAGCAACATCGAGTCTGGTCATAACCTAGGTGAGTGACCACTTGAGAATACCAGGTGCTGTAATGGATAACCGCTTGGAATTGTTAATCAAAGAGAGCTGGCTTCTAATTCCTGTTGGGTTCATTATATTCACTTACACACAAATACTCTCAGGAAAGATATGAATCCACCTCTTCTCCCCCCAGCTGTGGGTTAATTAGTAAAACTTGTATCATTAAACCTTTATTAACTCTCACCCCAAATTCTTATACTCTAAAAATATTTCCTGGCTTTAAATAATCTGCAAAGGGTTGATGAGCAATAGAAAATGAATGAATCAATCAGAATAAAGCAATGGCCATTTTGTTTAAAGTTCCTATTTTCTTGATTTCAGGTGAAAATGTGGAAATTTTCCAATATATTTAAATGAAATTTTCAATTGACAATATTATAGTTTATGATTATAGTTTAGATGCATGATAAGGAAGTGTCAGTTCAAACTGATACCAGGAGGATAAAAGTTTAAAGCATAAAATTGCCTTCTCAAAGAACTAAAAAAAATAACAGAAGTTATTCATTTCTTGATGGAGTGATTTCAAAAGCTGTGTGAAATTCCCAGCAAGACATGGGAAACACTTTGTAAACTGATGCATGCACAGCTTGATCAATTTGTTCAAATTCCCTAAATTTTTAATTTTTTTTTTATGCTATTGTTCACCCAATACAAGGCCGAACACCCACTCAAGGGAGATGGTTACTGAACTAAGCTGTTGGATAGATGTAAAAGGAGGAGGTAAGTACAGATTATGAGAATATGAAGGATAGATAATGGTTGAGTCTAGACTTTAAGAGATCAATATTGTAGTGAAAAGAGAAGCATCCCCTCAGGAGTCTATTTCACAAAATAGTGTTTCTCATGATGAATCTGAGTGGAACTTTCTTTGCTTACCAATAAAATATGAAGGGAATTAAAATGATTTGATTCTGTGAATGTTGTATGTTCGGACCTAAATGAAAAGGTCTGATCTGGTGAAGCTAAGGAATGTAGCCCATCTGAACATTTGCCATTAAAGTAGTGATATCCGTGTGATGTTTCATCTGTCGGAAAGGAGCTGTAGGATCCAAAACAATTGCCTACAAGTCCAAGGAAACACTTTTGAACAATATCAAAACTAGAAAATGAGGATTGGCCTGCTCCAGCCCAAATATGGCAACAATATTTCATTTTGGGTCTGGCCCAACTTTTGTAAAGTTGGGGAATAGCAGGAGTCAAGTTCTTTCTGGAGCAACACAAGAAACCAACCACCAACTTTAGTGATGGATGTATTAATGTGTTCCACATGGGTGAACTTGAGTGCTAATAGACTTTCAAGGCAACCAACCACATTGAAAGTGCAGTTGTTTATCATGACTGGAAAAAATTCATGGTCTGCTTGTGAATGTTAGGAGCTATTCTTTTTCTCTTATTTAGTTGTTAGAATTGGAAATATTAGGTTTTGTGATCCTTCAAAATTTGGAAAGCATAAGTGCCTAGAAAATCAGCATTTATTCTCTTGTTTTACCTAGATTTGAGCACTGACAGGAAATATATTAATATCTCAGCCATGAAGCATCTATATCACTATTAATAAATTTAGTATAGGAGGAAAGGAAATTGAATAGAGATTAGGCTGTGTTTCACCTAACACTACAAATTGCATAAAAAAGAACAAAGAAAAAAAGAACCTGAAAACTTTAGTCATGTTCTTAAATACCCTTGTCAGGTTGGGACTTTCATCTGGGGGCCATGCATTGTAGTAAACATGTTCAGAAACTTTTTAACTGCTGGGTGTATACAACTACTTTCTCAGATCAATGGTAAAAAATGTCTTTGAGCAAATGAAGCTTGTAGGTCTCCGCAAGGACCATCCTTCTTTGAAACTTATAGACTGACATTATAGAATCACAAAGAACTACATCAGTTAAGAGAAACCACATCACTTGAGGATTTTCAGCAACAACTGTAACTAACATGGAAAGCAGATGTAACATGAAGAGAAACTTGCATAATCATGATGCGGACATTCAGTACTACTTCAAACAAATGGTTAGAAAGGAAGTCCCTATCAATACTGGAAAAAGTAATAAAAGTTGTTGAACTTGAGAAACCTACTTTTCTAAAAAAAAATTGTTTTAATAGAAAGATTTCAACCGAAATTTGCACTGGCTGCTAGGTCAATGAATGTTGAATGTTTCCTTATATGGAAACAGCTAATATTACTTTTAGCATCAATATCATCAGTCTCAGTATGTTACTCTCTCATCACTATGTTTAGCAACAATATATGATAATAGTTTTAATGTTCCTTACTGTAACCACTCCTTTCTTCATTCAGCAGAACTACCAAAATGAAACAAACCAATAAACACACTCCTGTCAACACCAAAGACCACAAGTTCTGAGAGACTTTTATTAATCTTTAATCCAAGAGAGGAGTGAGCTTGAATAGTTTAGTGAAAGAGAAAGACGTGAAAAGAAAAATAAACATATCTTTAAATTGTAAAAGTTTTCCTTGCTATCACAATAGCTAGTTTCATTTCTTTTACAGTAGAATAATAAAACATTAAATATTGTCATTACTAATTCTTTTTCTTTCAGGTGTCCTTTCCACAACTTTCTGTTTTTTGTTGTACTAAGCACTTTTGACCCTTTACCATACTTCTTTGACCCTGTTCTACCATCCATTTTCACAAATTCATTAAGTAGATTATCCACTATTTCCTACTGCTTCGCTTTCCTTCAGTATGTCCGATGTGTGTTAAATTTTCTAGGCCCTCTTTCTTCATTATGTGTCCCAGATATTTAACTGTAATCATTGCTAATAATTTCGTTATGCTCATGACCACCCTCAATGAGGCGTTCAGTCCAAACAGGATAAACTAATCTTTGTGGTTTTATGTCAAACCAAAGTGTGTGAGTTAATATAGGCACATCTCATGGACCATTTTCCAAGAGTAGTGAGTTCCATCCTTACTTGAAGTACTTGTCCCCTGGCATTGTGCCAGAATATGTCACTATGAATAAAAAAGGCTTACAGCCATATCACATTGAAATACCAGTTCTCATATCATCACTGAAGTTAAGCAATGTCAAGCCTGGTCTGTACTTAGATAGGTGACTGCTTGGGAATACCAGTTGCTGTAAGCTTGTGTGTTCCAGTGGTGCAATGGATAATGGCTCAGAATTAGAAATCAGTGAGCAGAGTTCCAATTCTAATCAGGTTTGTTATATTCACTTACATACAAATACCATTTAGAAAAAGTATGAATCCATATCTCCCCCCCCCCAGCTATGGGTTAATTAGTAAGATTTGTATTGATAAATCATCATTCTCTCAAAAAAATGTACAATCTAAAAATCTTTTCTGGCTTTAAAATAATCTGCAAAACTCTTTAACATTTTGCAGGGGTTAGCCAGAAAAAGAACTAAAGTGACTTCAGTCATGACTTTGTCCAATATTTGCAAACTGGTACTGTAAATAACTGTTTAAATGCATTTAGCTGAAGAGTAAGTTGTAAACATTCTAGTATCATATCCACTAATACAACTGTAATGAGTTCAGTCCTCACTGGGTATCCCACACATGTAATATTGAGTAGATAACTCAGGAATTGGAAAAGTGTTGCTAAAAATCGGAGACAGTTAAAACTTTTTGAGTATCTCATGAAAATAGATTTGGAGAATTTAAGACTCACAGAGTGATGACATGGATAATTTAACACTCACTGTGTATAGGTAAACATACAGGAGTTAATTGAAATTAAACCATGAAGAGTAGATTATGGAGAGCCATAATCACTATATCCTGAAAGGACATGGCACAGAAAAAAACATCTTGTTTTTGAACAGTGAATAACTAGTCAGTCTCATAGAGTATTAATAATATGATTGTTTTTATATTCAGTGTGCACAATACTTCTGTCTTTAAGTCAGACTTAAACTTACTATATACCTTTAACCCAATCCTAAAACCTTGATTATCCAATTGATATACCTGTCTGTGTATATCTTATAATTCTGTTTGTTCCTTTTTTAGTTCTGCTAATACCTCATAAATAACAGACTGTTCTGTTTTGATTAAATGGAAAGACATATCAGAGACGCTATTTGATTTTGGTGAAACAATGCAAGAAAAAAAAGGAAGGGAAGATAGATGTGTTTAACAGCTATATTAGTGAAATAGAAAAAGATGTCTTTTAATTTGTACCCAATTTTTAAAATAATGGCAGACATTCATATTTATGATTGTTATTGCAATATTTTGTTAAAGTTGTTAAGCTCAGATATTAAACAATGCAATAGGGGAATATCTAAAGCTATTTTATTATTGGAGAACTAACCATGAGCTTATTCAATCATTAACTTGAAAATTAAGATTTATCTGAAAATTCAAATAGAAAAAAAAGAGACATTTTCTTAGGTATGTCTAGTATATGATGATCAGGTATCTGTTTTTTGTGTAGAAAATTTACTTTGCATTCTACTTTTATGCACCTTGTCTCTTCAGAATGTGGGTGTTCATGATGCTCCACAACTTCCAGTTCCTTTTAGTTCTAAACAATGACAAAATTTAAACAGTTTTATTTTAACTCGGTTTGTCACTAATTTTATTACATCATATTTAGTTTTAACAATTTTTTATAAGAGATTGGACAAAATTCAACAAGAGTAGAGAAGACAAATTAGTTGTGAATAAAATCCCTTTCAAAACTTTGGAAAACAAAGGAAGGTTTAACCAATCCTGCCATACCACCATTGTCCACCTCTGATGTTGTGGGTCAACATAGACATTATTTTAGAGCATATGTCATATTTATATATGAGGGTGTGTCAGTAAGTCCGTAGCTTAATTTGGTCTATTTTTACTGTGTAATATTTAATCTGTGTGATTAATATTCACCAATGAATTAAGGGCATTGACAAGGAAGGGGATTATATTGAAAAAATAAATATTGTGAACAATATTTTTCATCATTATGCTACAGACACTGATATATATATATATATATATATATATATATATATATATATATATATATGTGCAATTTAGCTGCAGAATTACTGACACTTATATGCATTCATATCTTTGTATATGTAACAACACACACACAGGCACATTGATTAAAGATAAGACTTTCAAGATAAGGGCTCTACATATTTTCCATGGTGGAAAGAGAATGCCTTCATTAGAAGCATCTTTGTGTGAAGGTGAGAGAGTTTTATTTGTTTTTGGCAACGATATTGCTATTTACAAACTGTATGAAGATCTTGTTAAGACAGAAAATCTCATTTTGGAGTACATCTTGATAATAATTTATGTGACATAAGCATGTATACAAAATAATCTATTATGTTATGTATGTGTACAAGGTTTGCACATTTAGGGAGCTAGCCAATTCTGTTTTTAATCCTTTTTTCTTCTGTAGTGAGGGAAGTAAATTGATCGCTTCTTCCTGCTCATAGAAAAATGATTACCTGCTATTTTAAGTTTAAGAATTTGATTGGGATAGCATTTTACCTTTTGTTAACATAATATGATTACAAAACTATTTAATATTTTAGAAATTCTATAAAAGTGTCAAAAAAATATTATTGTTTGATATGAAGTTTATTTTTATTCTAAGGCTTCAAACATTTGAGAAAATCCAACTATCCTGACTCATTTTACTTAAACTCTCAGAAAGCCCCTAATCAAAATAACAAGTCATTTTCTATATGGTGATTTTCCAAGTATAGCTTAGATGTGGCACAAGGCCAAAATTAGGGGAACTCACTACTCAGTCATAATTGTTCTAGCAAGACAAGCTTGCTAACCATTACACCACCTTGAGGTGCCCAAGTCATTTTCTATATATATAGAATCTATGATAATTTTCAGAATAAGGGGAGATTACTCTTTAATTAATCAAGCTCCAACTCCATTGAAAATTCAGTGGTACCTTTACTTGTCCTTTTACTAATCATTAAGCAGTAGAATTCTTGTGTTAAATGGTTTTTGAATATACATGGTTGCAGGTTTTGGCTGCACTGAAGGTAGATTAATATTTAATGTTAGCTTAAGCCTCAGGAGCCGTCCCCACAGGCATTACCTCTGTTTTGGGAGGGGGCTAAGGTCATTACCTGAGGCATCCCCAAAAGGGGAAGTGAAGAGAGAACTTCAGCAATTTTTGTTCTCGGTCCATGCATGCATGGGTTACTGATCCACTTTAAAGTCAACCTTTTGTCATCCTGCTTGAGTATGCATGCATATAAATATCTACCTGCATATAATGTAGAAAAAAGTTTTTATAATGAAGTATGGAAATGTGAATGATGGAAAGAGAAAAGAAAAAATTAAAACATCAAATTAATAATGTTTGCATGATTATACTCATATCATCATTATTAGTTTATTTTATAGAAAATTCTTTCCCTATATAATGATATAATAAAAATGTTTTCTTCTTTCTTTATTCGTCTCTCTCGCCTTCTCTCTCTCACTGTGTTTCTCTTGCTTTCTCTCTCTCTGTGTTTCTCTTGCCTTCTCTCTCTCTCTCTCTCTGTTTCTCTTGCCTTCTCTCTCTCTCTGCATTTCTCTTGCCTTCTCTCTCTCTCTGCGTTTCTCTTGCTTTCTCTCTCTCTCTGCGTTTCTCTTGCTTTCTCTCTCTCTCTGCATTTCTCTTGCTTTCTCTCTCTCTCTGCATTTCTCTTGCTTTCTCTCTCTCTCTGCATTTCTCTTGCTTTCTCTCTCTCTCTTTCTCTCGCCTTCTCTCTCTCTTTCTCTCGCCTTCTCTCGCTCTCTTTGTGTGTTTCTCTTGCCTCCTGTCTCATTCACCTTCTCTCTCTCTCTCTTGCTCTCTCTCTCACCTTCTCTCTGTTTCTCTTTCCTTCTCTCTTGATTTCCCTCACAAAATAAAAGAATCATTATTTCAAGGATGTCCAGATTGTATGCATCAATTAGTATTCTTTTCTTCATTCAATGATATGATTTTATTTTTTTAACAGTTACAAATCCATATTATAAAATTCACCATTATTATCTCAGTGAAAACAGATGCATTCTTCTAGTTAGGAAATTTAATGGCATTACCCTAACAAAAATCTTATGATGTGCCATTTTTGTCAGGTTATGTTAAAAATCACACCGACAAACAGAAATTGAATCATTATAAAATAAATTTTTCATTAATTACAAAATTTATTTTATAAAGTAAAGAATCAAACAGTAACCTATCTTGTCATCACCCCCACCAAAAAAAAGGTTGCAACTCTATTGTATTTTTTGCTGAGTATCATATTGAGAATTCGGGCATGAGTGGCATGGCTGATTTGCATGCATTATCAATTCACTTGTGTATGTAAATCATTTCACCCAATAGAAATACTGAGATTGAGAAAGCGAGCACAATCACTTTAGCTCAATAGCAGGAGATTACATCATTTGTCAATGCAAAAGTGTGATGATTAGAAGCAACTGAACACCATTACAAGCACAGAAAGTTTAGAGTGTAATGTTGTCTTTGACTTAGAAACTTGAAGGTTGAAAGAATTAAAATTATATTTCAGGCACCAGACTCTTTATGATTTATACCTAACATATACAGTGCAGAAATAATTCTGATCTCGGATTTATTTCTCCCCAGTTTGTCAGTTTCAAGACCATAACAGTAAAGTTTCCCCCATAAAATATTTGGTTCAAATAGTGATTCTATATAGATTTATGATAATGGTGAAATTAGTCGTTTCTATGCAAGAAACATTTGGGATTCATTGATCAAACAGCTTAACTGTTCATTGAAATTTATAAAATCTTTTTTCAGGAAATTAGACATATTAAGTCCAGTAACTGTTATTGCTCTTTCCAGTATTAATGGAAGCTTCCTTCTTAAACTTTTGTTTGAAGTAGTATAGAAAGTCAATATCTTAATAATAATAATAATATTATTTTCCTTTCTAGTTATGTGTGCTGCTCATTTTAGTGATTGTTGCTGTTTGAAGTCTTCAAGTGATGTGCTTTTTGTCATTTGTTGGAGCTCTTTGACATTTTGTAATGCCAGTCTCTCTCATATATATATATATATATATATATATGACAAAACACTGCTTTCTTCAAAATCTGAGAAATTTCTTTGCTTGAAGCTATTTTTAATCATTGATCTGAGAAAATGGTTGTATATTGGTGATAATTTAAACATTTCTGAACAAGATGGTTACCATGCATGAGATTCATATACAAGTCTAGATCTGATGAGGCTATTTAAGAACATGTCTCAAATCTTTAGGTTAATGTTTTAGTTTTGTTGCAACTTGTAGTGTTGGACAGAACTATAACTAATGCTTAAGCTCAGTACCTATCCTGTGCTCATTTTCCTTATTTTTTATATTAAATTTGATCTAAACTGATCCATGCATTGAGGTATTTGAAATGTTTAGAAATTATTAAGAACTTCATATTTTCAAGTTTTTTGATAAATTCAGAGTCTGAGCTGTCACTATTCTCATTCCAGTTTCTGATCATAGTTCGTTTGATGAGGCTATTTAAGAATATAACTCAAGTTCTCAGGTTAATATTTTGGTTTTGTTGACAATCTACTTACAGATGAAGAAGAGACTTGAAGAAAGAAAAATATGGTTCTACAGAAGAATACTGAGAATGCCATGAACTGAATATGTGAGCAACAACAGTTTTAGAGTAAATGAAAAAAAAGAACATTTATACTTAACATCAGGAAGAAATAAAATTTCTATGTTACATAATGAGGAAAGAAGGCTTAGAAAATTCAATATTCACAGAACAGATTGAAGGTAACAGGGATAGAGGGAAATAACTCATAACCTACCGAGAGAGAAGATGGTGGAGCAAGGCTTAGGAAAGATAACAAAAGGACATAATTTATTAACAATAACATCTACAGGAAATTGGGGAGAGCTATGATTGCCTACATCCTGAAGGGACATGTGACATAGTTATGGTGTTGAACAAAAGAACCCCTAGGACAGCCAATAATATGTTCAGTATTTTTCTTTAAACAATTTTGATGCTGGTCATTTGTCTCTATTTAAATTTGGATACACTTTCTTTCTTTCAAATTCAGTTATTAAAATACTTTTTTCTTTTTCTATGCTTCATTGTTTGAAAAACTGTTTTTAATATTATTTTTAATCAAGATTTTAAATACTTAAAAAATGTTTTTTGCATTTTTCCTGTTAGAATTTTTTTCCATTTCAAATTTTTCTACTTTATTGACATCACTATACGTTTTTCCGTAGAAACTCAGATGATAACACTTCTCATGGTTTGCTGTAGAACATTGTTTTTTATAGAAGGAAAGATGAATTTCCCATAAAATTTTGTTATTCAGGTAATATCATGTCATTATGAGGTTTACCGCTTCCATTAAAAAACGATTGAAATATTTAAGCTTTGATAATCTAATTACAAAATTACTGTTCCTTTATTTAAAAGCTCAAAAGGATCAGCTAAAAATAATTTGAGACATGATTAATTACAGAATACTATTTGTCAAAATGGTGCTGTTTCTTTATGGCGTAAGGACATAACACATTGAAATACCAGTTTCTGTACGATCACTAATGTTAAGCAACATTGAGCCTGGTCAGTACTTCGATGGGTGACTGTCTGAGAATACCAGGTGCTGTAAGCATAGATGTGCAGGTAGTGTAATGGATAATGGTGTAGAATTGGAAATTGGAGAGCAGAGTTTCAATTCAAGTTGGGTTCATTATATTCACTTACGCACAAATACTCTTGGGAAAGCTATGACTCCACCTTTTCTCCCCTAGCTATGGGTTAATTAGTAGGACAAATATCAGTAAATCATTAGTATCTCCAGAAAATCCTAAACAGATTCATTTTGATTAGAATTAGCAGTATTTTATGCTGGATGGTAGAATATACCATGCCATTACATGTGTAAAAACATGTTTTCAGGACCATGATATTAATTTCTTGGAATTAGTGACCAACGAACTGGATCTTCAATAGAGAATCTATAGAATATTATATGAAGATTGAACCATTGGAAATCACTGTCAAAGACCATCTGAAAATAGTACTAATAGCTTAATGGTAATATTAGCTGTTTCCCTACAAGGAAACATTTGCTATTCATTAACCGAGTAGCCAGTACTGTTTTTAGTTGTAACTTATATAATCCTTCTCTTGAAACAATTTTTCAGGAAAATGGGTTTCTCAAATCCAGTGGCTCTTATTGCTCTTTCCAGTATCAATGGCAGTTTCCTTCCTAACCTTTTATTTGAAGTAGTGTGGAATGTTAACATCTTATGTTGTTGTTTTTACTCAAAGAGAAAATAATGGGAAAACAAAAAGACAATATTGTTTTATGCAAAGAATTTGCACACATCAATGATTTAGATTAATCCGTATTTCTTATCATGTAATGATAATAGAATACAAGATTTTTAAAATGACAATTTACCTTTTAACAGTGTTTTCAAGCTAATTCAAAACTGTCCATGAAACTTCTTTTGTTGTACAAAAGAAAAATGTTTGATTTAATTGTTTGTATACAAAAAACAAAAACAAAAACAAAATTATGCACTTTTCCTTTGTTTCTGTATTTTCCCCAAACTGACAGGTGTACTAGTGTTAGAAATTTTCATACAAATATATAAAATAGTCTAACAAATGCTGATTTTCTGTTGGAGTGTTGACTTTTAGGTTAAATTATAATGATGTTTAAATTTCAGTATGTAATGATATAAAATAACTTTTGCTAACACATGGTTTTTCTATAGTTTTACTCTTATTCATTGCTATATAAAAAAATTGATCAATATATTACTAAATTTCAAAAATTAATATCATTAAATGCTGCTAATTTAAACTAAATATAAGGTTTTGGCATTTAACAGACTTCAAAGTCTTTTTACTAAAACATGATTTTTGGTGTAAAAAACAAAGAAACTTAACCTGCCTTGGAATTCCTTTCTAAATCAATGGTTTTAGTCTTTAAAATTTTATGCTACCTCATGTTTTCAAATAAACCAAGAGCTTTGTTTTTTTTTAAAATTACCCCGCTACATAATTTCACACTAAATCATAAACTTTCTTTTTTTTTTTTGGCTTGCATTTTCAAACAAAATCATGGCTTTTGATATTTAAAAAGTTTCCCCCCACCTCATATTTTCTCTGTAAATCAAGAATTTTCCTTTTAATAATCTGCCTAGTATTTTAAAACTAAATCAAGGGGTTTTTCAAGTTTTCATGCTACAATAAAGATTGTAGTATTTCACATTTTCATGCTACAATAAAGATTGTAGTATTTCACATTTTCATGCTACAATAAAGATTGTAGTATTTCACATTTTCATGCTACAATAAAGATTGTAGTATTTCACATTTTCATGCTACAATAAAGATTGTAGTATTTCACATTTTCATGCTACAATAAAGATTGTAGTATTTCACATTTTCATGCTACAATAAAAGATTGTAGTATTTCACATTTTCATGCTACAATAAAGATTGTAGTATTTCACATTTTCATGCTACAATAAAGATTGTAGTATTTCATTTCATGCTACAATAAAGATTGTAGTATTTCACATTTTCATGCTACAATAAAGATTGTAGTATTTCACATTTTCATGCTACAATAAAGATTGTAGTATTTCACATTTTCATGCTACAATAAAGATTGTAGTATTTCACATTTTCATGCTACAATAAAGATTGTAGTATTTCACATTTTCATGCTACAATAAAGATTGTAGTATTTCACATTTTCATGCTACAATAAAGATTGTAGTATTTCACATTTTCATGCTACAATAAAGATTGTAGTATTTCACATTTTCATGCTACAATAAAGATTGTAGTATTTCACATTTTCATGCTACAATAAAGATTGTAGTATTTCACATTTTCATGCTACAATAAAGATTGTAGTATTTCACATTTTCATGCTACAACAATAAAGATTGCTACAATAAGTATTTTTTCACATTTTCATGCTACAATAAAGATTGTAGTATTTCACATTTTCATGCTACAATAAAGATTGTAGTATTTCACATTTTCATGCTACAATAAAGATTGTAGTATTTCACATTTTCATGCTACAATAAAGATTGTAGTATTTCACATTTTCATGCTACAATAAAGATTGTAGTATTTCACATTTTCATGCTACAATAAAGATTGTAGTATTTCACATTTTCATGCTACAATAAAGATTGTAGTATTTCACATTTTCATGCTACAATAAAGATTGTAGTATTTGAAAATTATGGAATATTTTTTTAACCAAAATTCTTGATTTACTTAAAACTTATATTCAGTAAAATTTTGAATACTAAAACATTGATTTAGTTTAAAATAGTAGCATTTATGGTATTTTAAACTTGAGATGTTGAATTTTAAATATTTATTGAGATAGCACAAAAGAGCAAAAGCTACTTCCTGAAAATATTTAGTCTTCATGAAATTTTGAAACAAAGGATTTTTCCTGCTTAACTTTTCGAAATGCCTAAAGTTAGACATGATCCTATTTTTAAAATTACTTTGCTTTGTTGACAGCTTTCATTTATTTTATTTTAGTATTATCTATATTTAATTCACTTTTTTTATGCTTTCTTTGTCTTCTTGTTTTTATTTTTCTTATTTTTACATTTTCGCTTTCATTTCCTTTTCGTTTCTTGTTTTATCTTCCTCATTTCTCTTTCTATTCTATTCTTTATTATCTCCCTTTCATTTCTATTACTTATGTTTTTTTTTTCTGCCAATATATGAAACCAGCCACTGAAAGAATTTCTCATCAGACATCCCTCAGCTTTGTAACTAGGAGTGCTGATGTCATTCCAGAATAGAAGTATAACTGACCAATCATTGCGGATTTTGACTTCAAGAGAAGAATCTGTCCATTGTAATCTTTCTGCTCTTGAAGAACTCTTTCCTAGTCTGAGTAAGCCTGTCCAACTTTTACTAGGAGAAGAGGAAGATGAAAAAAAATCTAACTTGTTTCCTTTATCCAGTCTGCACTACTTATTAATGACTTGGTACAAATCAATGGTTATTAACGTCAAACCTTCCAGACAATGATTATGAAATTGCAGTTTTATGTATTCAAGATGGAAAGTTTCCAACTTGGAAAACATTCACTATTTTAAAAGGTTGTCATTTCCTTTTGTTCTGTTGTATAATACAGACACTAAAATTCTTGTTAAAAATTAAATGATAAAGGAAAGCTGATCTGATTTGCCAAAACACTTTTTGGAAAAATAACAACATTATCAACTTAGTCATGCTGAAATTTCTAAAACCTGAAAAGATCAGAGTCTGTCAAACAGAATAATGTTAAAATTAGTCAGAAGTAATATGTGAATTTGTAGGATGCTATTATTTTATTTACTCATTTTCTGCTTTTATTATGTATTTTTTATACATTTAAAACAAAAAATGTATTAGAATATAAACTTACTGTATATACTTGTGTATAATCTGAAACCCCTGAATTTTTTTTGCATGTATTTTAACTGCCCCAGAAAAAAAATTACCTGTGTATTTCAAAAGTGACTATTTTTTGCATAAAATTATATCTATGTCAACCAATCATCCATGCTTAGAATATTGCTTCCACCAATGGTCTGGTACTCCTGCTATTTACCTTGAGCTCCTTGATAGAATAAAAAAAAAAAGAGTCAGTAATATTATTGGTCTTGATCTGGCAGTTTGGCTTCAGTTACTTCCCCACTGCTGTAAGGTTGCTTTCCTTTGCCTTTTTTAGAAATACTTTCACAGTAATTGTTCAGATGAGCTCTTTGCTATGAAATCTAAACTTTCTGAAGTGCAGTGCTAGACTGGCATCAAGATTTTATCAATTTACAATTCGAGCTGGCTAGATGTAACCTTAAGTTCTATGGAACTCCTTTCTGGCTCCATGCTTTCCAGCCAAATTTAATCTTCAAAATTTTAAATGCAATGTCAATTGTTATCCACTGTCCTCCTGATTACTCTTTTTGTTCTCACTCATTAGTAATTTTTCTGTTTCTAATTCTTCCACACCCTTATGCCTTAATGGCTTTACTGCCTTGCATGGGGTGAAATGATTAAAAAAAACTGATCATTATACTATACTTGAGCATATATGGTATATATGATGTTCATTTCTGCTGAAGCTTGTGTATTAATGGATTGCCACATAGACAATTAAGCATGAAGTGCTACCTTTTGTGAAATAAACAATTTTGTTGTAAAGTTTCAATAAATTGCAGTTTCAATTTTATCACAATTATTGGAAGTTTGTTCACAATACTGTGACTATGAATTGCAGTAACATTGATAAATTGTCATAGCTACAGTTAAATTAATAGCAAATGAGAGTTAATAATAAATAACTTTCAATAATTGTGGTATAATTAAAGAATGCAGTTTGTTTATAGTTTTCTATAAAAATTTATGTACAAGTTGATTTGGTATATCTTTTCATAGTGGATGTGCAGGTGATGTAATGGATATCAGAGAGTGAAGTTCTAATTCTAGTCAGGTTCATTGCTTTCACTTCAAAACATATCCTTAGAAAATGTATGAATTGTCTATTTTCCCCAGATATGGATTAAATAGCTTGAAAGACTGGACTCTTTAAACATGGCTGGTGACCAGTCTTAGAAAAGGACAACTC